TACAATCATTTCATTGACATTCATTATATTAAGGTTATTTTGATTATATCGAGAGATATGGTCAAGAGAAGAGTTAGAATGAGAGCTATTCTTCGACCAAGTCAAAAACCAACCCTTTAAATACATTTTCGAATAGTACAATTTAATTTATTAGACTATTTCAATGGTTGCTTCCAAATTCTTAATTCATTAACGAAACAATTGTTGGTGAAGTGATTGTTGACAAAATGAATCAAACCATATTTATTTCTATGTTTATCAAATTCGCGATTTTAATTGGTCAATCAACAAATGGCATGGGTTAAAATTTTGTGTTCCCTCCTGTTAATTTTGTGTTCTCTCAATGGCAAGCTACTACTCCTTTTATCAAGATAAATTCCTTACAATCGCCAATGATGGCACCACGAATGAAATTATCAATGATGTTGACCTCTTCAAAATCTCCCTTTACAATGTATTTACACAAGATCTGTCCAAGTGGGAATCTGCTTTAAAGTTTGGGGGTTCAGCGTTCGTGGCGGCATTTATGGCACCTTATATTGTTGCGGGAGTTGTGAGTGCCATTGGGTTTGAAGCAGGTTTATTGGCAATACTTTGATATTATAAAAATAAGATGGAACTAAGGTTATGTATAACTAAGAAATAAATTTTAATTCTATACTAATCAAAAAAAAAAATAGGCGGAATTGCAGTGGGATCTTTTGCGGCTTGGATTATGTCACTTTATAATGGTGCAGTCACGTCTGGGAGCGTGTGTGCGATATTACAAAGCATAGGGGCTGCAGGTCTTGGTACTGTGGTATGCTTTTTGAGGAAAAATTCATAAAAATCTATAATCATTTACATTAAATTTTCCTATTATTATAATAATATCTAACAGGGGACCATTGCATCTGGTATAACTGGAGCTGTTATGGGTGGGGGTATTTCGATGGGTGTTGAAAAATTCTATGAAGAAAGCAAACTATCCGAATCCGAAGAAAGTTCATTAGAAGAATTTCTCAAAATCAGTCAATCAAGACCTTTCTTTGGAAGCAGTACAATTACATTTGATTTCAATACTCTTATTCGGCAAAATGAGGAATATGTAGATAAGTTTTTGGATGTTTTGATTGTTGTTGCACCATTCACGAACTTAAATAAATTCAAGGTTAATAATTGTGGCAATAGTTGCCTTCATGTATTAGAAAGGTTGAGTAAAACTTATGGAGATTCAAGGGTGGACCATATTTCCAATTTTGGAGGTGTTCAAACTATTGATTTAGATATTTCAACTTTCGAACATCCTCAAATACTTCAAAACATCATCAAAGCGTATGTGAATGGTAACATAAGGGTAGGTCTTTGATAATCACCTATAAGAAGCGTCTTTTTTCAAAAACTCTGATCAAATAAGACTTGAGATAAATCAGATGTATTAATTTTTATTGGAGTTATATAAAATAATTTGTTTCGCATTTATATTTACGTGGAATATGGAGATGGAATTGACTATTTGGTTAACTAATACTAATTAATAATTGATTATTTTGATCGATTAAATGAATCCTAAATATGCCAACAAAACCAGACAAAGTGATATTTCAGGGGTTCATCATATTAATATTAATATATAATCAAGACAACTCACAGATTTGTCCCAAAAATTTGTCTTTATTCAAGAAGAAAGTGTTTGAGTCATGTTTCTAAACAATAAATTGTTCGAAGAGAATATCTGTAATAGTAATGGAACAGTGGGAGTGATGACAAAAAATAATTGATAATGGAGATATAAAAGTTTAGCAGAGTAGTGATCCAGAAAGAGACAAGTTACTTTGAAAATTGCTTCTATAATATTTTGCGCTCACAGTCAATAAAATGAAATTAGGTGCTCCACTATTTTACAAATATTTATTTACTTGTTCCTTTGATAGTTTTATGTCCATTTTTCTACTATTGCCGTCCAGAAGTCGTCAATACTCCCATTAGAAGCAAAGTCTTTAATTTTTAATATTGAGAAATTGTAAAGCAATATTATTTGAGGCAGACGCTTTTCTATACAGCAATTTGTACTCATTAAAAACTATTTGTTTATATTATAATTTAAGAAAGACTACAGGTAGATGTAAAAAATATGGCATTTTTATCGATTGGGAAAATTGATATCTTATTCATTTTCAATAAATATTTATCTATAATATTTTAATAGAAATGTATATAAATTAATTAATTATTCTATTGCAGGACGTCTATAATGGTCAATTATTATCACATGACTATAAAAGAAGAAGCTTCATTTCCATCGGTTACTTTTTTTCATTTTATTAATAAATTTCGGAATTATCTTCTCTTGTGTTTTACTAAAAGGCAGATGATCGGCTTAAAGGATATACAAAAATCTTATTTGAAGAATCACGCTATTTGTTATTTCACACTATTGTTATGAAATGAATTTGAATGAAAAGAAATGTGATTACTTAAATCGGAAAGATCTTTAAATTTCGGACTAATATATTATACAGTGCCCAGGATTATGCTTTGCATAATTGGATATATTAACCATCAAATAGAACATCTATGGTATTTTTTTAACTTTAAATATAAATACCTCAAATAGAAGTGGCATGGGAATCGGTTAAATAATGGTAATATTAATATCACAAATAATATTAGTTCTATTCATTCGCTTACAAAATCTTTTTTATTTTTTCACATGATCGACGTTACATCTTCCAATAAAAATATCGATCCAACTATATAGAATATCCGAAGGTCCACCATATATTTTTTATTAATATTTATTAATAGTAAAACACATAATAAGCACTTTAAAAACATGTCAAACACAATACATTTTAACCAAAGAAAATTATAATAAATAATGAATTTAATTTGTATTCCTCATCTCTTTCTCCTTTTATTTATATATATATATATATATATATATATTATTAATTAAAGCAAACAAAGCAAGCCAGTTGAAATCGTAGAAAGTCCAATGACAGACCATCCTGTAGCATAAACACCTTTAATGGTCAATGCATAGCCAGTATCCCAAATCTAAAAATAATAATAATTTATGAAATTAATAATATAATTAATATATAATAACAAAACGATATACGTATATATAATACCAGATGTCTAATTCCATTAAAAAAATGATATGAGAATGGATAAGCCAAAATAAATTTTCCCGCCAATTTGATTGAAGTTGGTAAAGTTGCTATGGTTGTAACAAGAGTATCAGAATCTTGAAATATATTCAATGCATAAACTGATGCGCCGCCATACAAAACTAACAACAACAACAATAATAATATTGAAAAAAATAAGTTAATTATTTGACATACACGAAAAAATCATAAACAATATTTTTATTCTCTTTCAATTTGCGTACCAATTCCTAAACCAGCACCGGTTACTCTATGAGTTAAAGACATGTACCATGTTAATTGCGGTTGATAAATAGTGAAATGTGGTGATAATGGTCTCAAAGAACGTTGAGCATTAAGAAGTTGTTCATGTTCAATAGTAGTTGATTTTGTGGTAGTAGTATTTCTTTTTTGTTGTGCATTCCTTCACATATAAATTAAAAATGAAATGATTGTATGATTGATAGATTTGATAAAAAAAAGAGAATGAATTTTTTTTTATTTACTTTAATATAATACTAGATAATGCACCCGAATTCTTTGTTAGTGAACTTCTAAGTAGTGATCCTGATAATAAATATTTTAAATTGGACATTCAATTCAATTTATTTAATTGATATATATATATAATGAATTAAATTATTAAACATATAACAACATACTAACACCCAAGGTTCTGAAAGATTGTGTAAGAATTGAAGGATTCATTTTCATTTATTTGGGAAAAAAAGATTTTTTGAATTTTATAAACAAGTAGATGTAACACAAACCACAAATATAAAATTTTCGTTCCTTAGATTTTTATGTTTTTATTTATATAATTTTGGTTTAAATATTGAAATAAAATATTTGATTTATTTTTCCACAATAGTCTTTAAAAAAATATTAATATACTTCAGATGATGATTATAATTATTGAGGATTATTTTTCGAAAGAATAAAAATAAAGTACAAAGAAAATCTATGAAGATTTATTTTTTATTAATTATTTTCTATTTCTATCTTCTCCCTCTTTTTTTAATGTTAATAATAATAAGAATAGTTATAGTTATTATATATAATCATTATGGTTGGTTTTTTTATGTTTTAAAATTCAAGGATGCTTCAAAACTTCTTACTGAACAGTAATTTTTGAAGTAGCTAACTTTTATTTTTGATTGTTTTTTGAGCAATAGAAACATTTTAGAGGAAAAGAAGTAATTAATTAGTAGTGGTGGGTGGCAATGCAAGGTCTTTGAAAAAATTTTCCCTGAATGTTCCGAAATTTAGAACAGTGCAAATAAATCAGATCTTTGCATATTTTACAATGACTTCACAAGTGGTTGTTTTTTCATTTGCTATCAACATATTTTCTGTCGATTATCAATTCAGATGACTACAATTTTTTGGTACCATTCTTTTGAAGTAATGATACATTAATATCTATTTTTTTGTTATTGGAAATGTCACGTTATCATCGAGCAGATCTATTCAACCAATGATACAAGAATTATTAGGACAGGGTGATTATTTTTCAGCATTAGATTTAATTGACGAAGCAAATAGCTTATTACATGGTGGTAATGTTTGCAGCAATTCTGGTTATAATGGGAACGAGAAAAATATCAATTTACAATTTAATAATAATAATGGGTTAAAGACTCAGCTTACTTCTGGTGTTAATAATAGACCAATAACTATTTCAAGACTGAGTAATGTGGCAAATGATATTAAAAAATCGAGTGCAATTGATTTAAGAGGAGTCAAAGCTTTAATGTATTTTAATGGTAAACTTACTAAAGTGTATAAAACTATCAGAGTAATGATTTAATAAATTTCTTGATTTCGAAGAACATGTAAACAATGTGGATAAAAGTGTAATAATAGACTCGCTATACAATTTTACTATTCCTCTACCAACTATTAAAAAATCAAATATACAACAAACATTACTTTTTAATATTGACGATAAAAATCTCGAGAAAGAAGATAAATTAAAACAAAGAACATTGCCATTTATCCTAGGATTATATCTAGGGGTATGGGGGACAACTCAATGTTGCACATATAGATATAAGATTATATATAATGACAATTATATTCATTTTACTTCTGTTTGCAAACAAACTACAAACGATAACAAAATTAAAACAATTATAATAAGCATGGATATTGTGTGAATGATAAGCAGGTAAAGAAGTAATATATACATATACTGTACATATATAAACAATTATTAAAGTTAAGAAAAAAAATATCTATTTTTTTTTATTACTTCAAAGATGACAAAGAATCCTCGAAGAAAAACAAAACTAGATTATGAAGAATATTACAACTAATATATAGAACATGATAATCAGGTAAAAAAAATAATATATGTACACACATATATACATATATATAAATTATTATTAAATAAGAAAAATATCATTTTTATTTTTATTTTTATTCTTATTCTTATTTCAGAGATGACAGAAGAAAAAACAGAACTGAATATTACAAGTAATATATAAAAGATTGTATATATATAAAAATAATGGGTATACTCATGTACATATGGGTCATGAGGTAAAATTAAATTTACATATAAGATAGATATATTATTATGTATTTTAAATACAAAAAATCTTCTGATACCATTCAAAATGATGTGAATGTTGGTGAAATTTGGGTATGATAATTTGTGTAAAGGAATGTTATTGAAAAAACATATGCGTAGCATTTATTTTTGAAGTGCATTCTGCTTCATATTGATCGATTATTAATTACCACCCAATGCAAAGACAAAGGAAGCTGTTTATTATGACTTTGTGTATACATACATACATTTTATAAAGGATTCATATCCAACTATGTTGGATGTTTGACCATCCTAAACCAATGTTGCAATTTAAAAATAATCATTTTCTTATTAATTCTACCGTATACCTTCTTATTTATTTATTTACTTATTTTGTAATATTAAAAATAATCTTAATGCAATAATTTAATATACGATGTATAGATAGATAGACACTATAATTACAATATACTACTATTTAAATTTATTCTTCGTCATCTACTAAATCTACCAAGTAATTAACTTTTTTTACAATTCTTAAGTTTCTTTTTTAGTCATAATTTCTGTTTCATGTGGCTCAATATAATCGTCATCATCGTCATCCACCATTTCGATTATTTTTCTTTTATGCTCGTGATTGTTATATGATTCAATTTAAATTCATCGTCTTCAACTTTCAACTTGGGTCTTCCTTTATTTGCTTTTTTTAGTTGTAGTTTTTGTTTCATGTAGTTCAATGTAATCGGTATCATCATCATCAACAGTTTCAATCACCTTACTTTTGCTGCTCGTGGCCGTTGTATGATTCAATTTAAATTCATCATCTTTAGCTTTCAATTTGTATTTTCCTTTGTTTGCCTTTTTAATTGTGGTCTTTTGTTCAGTGTAATCATTGTCGCTGCTATCAACATCATCCATAATATTCTCGATTTTTTCCTCAGTGTAATTATTGTCATGGTCATCAATGTCAATACTATTCAATTTATTACTATTGTAAAAAATCTATCAACCTTAGCTTGTTTTGACTTGGATTTTCCGTTATTAGCCAGATTTTTTGCGGTTTTGGTGGTCTTGGCAATCTTGGTGGTATTAGTAGAAGTTGATATATTTTCTTGATTAGCATTCACGAACTCATCCCATGCCGCTTCGAGTTCATCGAGATCCTTGAGCCATAAATCTTGAGTGCTCATTTCTGAAATTATTTTCAATTCAGAATATAGAGACTTCTCTTTATTTTCATATTTGTCCACTTCTTCTCTACTAAAGCCAAACATGTAAGCTTCATAAGGTATTCATACCCTTTGGTGTTTCTGTTGGTATCGGTACCCTCAGACGAATTTTCTTCAGACTGCGCATCATATATTTTCTCAAATTTATGGGATTCAAGAAGTTTTACGATTTCCGCCTTCTTTAATCCTTCAAACTTTAACATTGGGTCAAGCTTCATATAAATAAACTCTCCATTATACTGATTTGTTTCTGCAAATCTTTAATCAAGTGATTCTATAATATATACACAATAGATTAAAATATTGTTAAAAAATCAAATAAAATTATATTAATAATAAACATACTTTTCTTTTGACATAAAGCTTCAATCGTTCACGGTAAAACTCTTTTATGATGTCTTCTGGAGAGTCATACTTTGCAAGTTTATTGTTTGGGTCGAAACACATCATATTGGAGGTTGCCAGAACAGTTGTTAATTGGAATGTCTTTAAGTCCCTCTTTCTCTGCCTTTTCCATTTGCTCAACAGTTAATTCAATTTCAAGATCCACCAGTTCATTAGTGCAATTGTTTCTAGAAATGTTCTTGATTGTGTTATTTTCTCTGAAATCATTTAGAGTTTTAGATTTGTAATCCTCGGTCTACTTGTGAATTGGTAGTTCTGATATTACAACATGCATATCATTTTTTTTGGAAATTATTCCATATGATGTGTATTTATTGTGCTCGGTTTGTTTGATCTTTCCATAAAATCTGTGATACCAAGGATGCATCGAGATCATCTCTTCGCCTTTGATCTTTCTTTTCAAATTGTGAATAATGTCCTTGGGATTGAAATTAGGAATACTGGTGCTCCAACCTGTTCCTATACCATTGGAATGATAGGAACATACCATTTTGGTTCAATTTTCATACCACCTTCACTCAAATATTTAACAAAACATCATCATCTGGGTGATAAATCAGCCTAGCAAAGTTTGAAAGTTTTGTTTTGAAGTAACGAGCAGCTGCTGCTGCTTTTTTACCACCATCATTTCTATTTCCGAACATTCCTATTGGTTCTAGCAAATTGATATTATTGGATCCTACAGAATCTTGTGTAGAGGTTGGCACCACGCAAAAATTCTTTAACTGGCTAATTTAGTCACGTGGAATTTTTTAACTGGTAAATTCGATCGTTCATTACTTACAAAATAATCACGCGCCTGTTGAATTTTATTATTATACACTTAATAGATGCTAAATGATTACAGTAAAACCTCGCCACAGTGGATTTCATGGTTCCAGCCAAAACAATCCGTTATTAATATTAATATTATTATTATGAAAAGAAGTCCGCAACGGCAAAATTGGTGATGATCGGGCAAAATTTTTTTAATAATACAAAGCTCTCTTTCCATTATATGCATTTTTCTGCTTTTGTTCATTATAGGGAGAAATTAATTATAAAAAATTGAATCGGAGACGGGCGACAAAAGGGAAATTCGTTATAGAGAAATTTACTTAGAGTTCGTTATAGAGTGGTTTGGTATAGTGCAATAAATTAATAAACTAAATACAGAATAAATAAATGAATAAATGAATAATACATACGGAAATGAAAATTATTTGTTGAAATATTTGATTGTATTATCTAATAATTTCACTTTTTCAATGGTTTAAATGCTTTAAATTCTTTGCAATCTATTTCTAAATCACCTTGTTGAAGAAAATTAAAAGCCATCTCAAAGGAAATTACGGCATCTTTCGTTGAAACTTTAGACATAGTGTTACTCTCAACAACTATTATATTATTAACATCATTTTGAAATCTCTTCGACTATATTTCTTGAATTTTCAATTTCATTATTAGATATTTCATTTTCCAAAG